ATTCAAATTGCTTATTTGTAATAATGAATATTCATTCACATGATAATAAATGATGGAGTCCTTTAGCAACGTATTGTAATGTTTCATCTAGATCTAATTTGTAATTAATCTTGTTAATATTATGATAAAACGATAATTGCTTTATTTCTTCTTGCTTAATCTGGTGAAATATTATCTTACGACGAATGTGTAAAAGATAAATATTAGTGCGAATACAGTAATTAGGTCTCGAGAAGGCATATCGGAAATGTGTGCCAGGTTTGTGGCGCCGCAAAAAAATCTTCAAAGTTCGTTAAGGTTAGCGTTTATGATAAGGTTAGCGGTTAGGTGATTATCTGTAAAATTGCTCAAGGAAAACTTTTTGTTAGAGCGCTAAAGCTGGTTTTTATGCAGATTTTCGAAAAATAGGCGATTTTTGACAAAACGGTTGTTTTCTTGAAATCTTATTCGTAATTTAGGCAATATGCGCCACAGTTGCGCCACAAACCTGGCACACATTTGTGACATTCCTCGAGAAGCAAACGGGTTTGCCAAATAGTCATTTGCCATTTTAGCTAAACCTGAAAGTAGAGGTAAGAAATTAAAATAATATATTAATAAGTCAATAATTTTAAGTTACCTCTGACTTTAGAATTTTCAGAAGCTTTTGCAGATAATAAAATGATAGGAATCATTTGGGTTTTTTCATTAGATCTTAGCAACTCTAATAATTCGTATCCATTCAAATTTGACATCATTATATCTATTAAAATTATATTATACAATTATTATTGTAATATATTAAATTAAAACATTATTATTGTAATATATTAAATTAAAACATTACTATTATATAAATTACCGCTAAGGATTAAATCAGATAATTTATAATGCTTTTTCAAGAATCTTGAAGCATCTATGCCGTCACGAGCACGATGTACGTCAAATTCTTTTAATAGGTTTGCAAAAAATCACTAAAATATGGCATATAATAATATATAATAAGAATTTACCAAATGCCCTCCAATTTTTTGGATTTTGGGAATTGGACCTTTATCCAAAATCCATTATTTTTTAAAAATTGGTCCCTTATTGAAAATTCTAGCTCATAGTTATATAAATTCTGATACGTAAATTGTATTTCAACCCAAAAAATATAAGAGCAGATATACCAGGTGTTTGAAAAGTCACTAGGACCCTTTGGTTAATTCTGTAATTACTAAATTGTGATATAAAGTTTTAGAAAAATCTTTTTTTACTAATAAACTAGAACATGATCATGCGGGCGGCTTCGCCGCCCATAATACGCAAAGATAATAGATTTGTTTGTTTTATTCTTACTTTTATTTCGGAAAGAAAATTTTTCTTAAGTTCCATCTTGAATTTAATGCACCAATTGGGGCCCTCCGGCAAATCTGATGCATTAGATTTAATCATTTCCTTCACGTCATTAAATGTTCTGTCTTGAATTTGATGCACCAATTTGGGCTCTTTCGTGTCAAAGTTGATGCATTAGATTCAAAACTGGTGCATTAAATTTAAAGCTTTTATTTGTCATATGAAACGATCATACTGTGATCCGTACAGCCGTAGGAATACAGTACAGTATAATCTTATCACTTGCCAAATAAAACAGTTACTGGATGTTACACATCCATATATTCGGATCCGAATCTAAATTGCTATTGGTAAATGAATATAGTGCACAATTGCGGTCTATTCCGACCATAAATTTTGGTCGATCTGCTAAATTTTGGTTGCTCACTAATCTATCCAAATTGATCTCCGCTGTGCAGATAGAATGAAAAATCACGGCATTACTTGAATGTGTTCTAGGTTGTGGCGCAGCAAAAATTCTTTAATGTTGTTTATAGAGTAAAATTGCTCAACGAAAACTTTTATTAGAGCAACAAAAGTGGCTTCTTGTGCAGAATTTCGATAAATAAGCGATTTTTGACAAAACGGACGTTTGTTTTGAAGTTCTTGATCGTGTTACGTTGCTCCCGATCTTGAAATCTTATTCATGTTCAGTAAATCTGCGCCACAAACCTAGCAACATTCAAGGGGTGCAAATTTTTGTTGGTCAGGGGCTGAGGGAGCTGAGTTCACTATTCTTTCGTTGCAGTTCTTTTGCCTTTTACCATGTTCTTTGACGATCAATGATTATCAATTCATCATACCGGCAAAAAATTTGAAGAAAAGAAGGTAAAATTTAAAAAACCTCCCCGAAAAGTAGAAGCATAACTATAGATGGGAGTGGGCATATAAGCACATATAAGCAGTGAAGGAAATCTGAAAATTTTTTTTTGTTTTTTTGAGAACATAAATTTAGAGTTAATGTTCTTATTAATAATTTTACTATATTCAAAAAATATTATGTTCTCAAAATACTATTAATTATATTAAAAATTAAAAAATTTTATGTTCTCATAATGAGAACATAATTTTTAAATATTATGTTCTCAAAAATGGTTTTAATGTTCTCGAGAACGTTGAGAACATTAGATTTCCAACACTGCATATAAGTATACTTTCTTTACTAGAATTTAAGTTGTTTTTAAATGCTTCAATTTTCCCCCATTCTTCTCTAGTATCTATCATACATATATGTATACTGTACATACAGTATTACCATCCCATTTTTCGTTGGAAGATCAACTAATCACATTGTAAATTTTTACGAAGCAAAAAAAGGAAAAAAACCAAAAAAAAAATACAAGAAACGAGTTTCTAAACCTATCTTGATGCGCTAATTAAAAATTTCAGGTGAGTAAGTTTACCTATAATACTTGCCATTTCCTTAACCTCGGATTAACCATATCCTTAATTTAATTTCTGCGTTTTGATCCTTTTCCAAAAAAGGGTCGTTTAAAGCGGAGCATAATCATGTGATATGTGACCAATTAAATTATAGAATTTGATGATCGTCGGCGAAGCAAAAGCAAGAAATAAAAACGAAAAACCTGAGAAATACTATAAATAAATCTCAAAAAAAAAACTTTGAGATACACAGTACTGGCGAAAATTTTTGATAGGAATATTGTGATCATTAAAATTTAAAAGATGTACACAGGTACAGTAGAACAATAAACCTTTTCAACCAATATTCTTTCAAAAATCCTTGGTATAATATGCCACCTTCCTAAATGTCCTCTAAACATTTTCCAATCTTTTATATTACTTGTGAAAGAAATATATTGCGCAGCATCACTATATCAAAAACTTAATAAACAAGGATACAATTAACCAATCAGATACAAACAAAATGTTTAATTTTATCATGTTTTCATAAGCGGTTTCATGACGGTTTCATAAGCAACTTATAACTCAGAAGATAATCAACTAATCATAAAATTCATACAATTCAATTTTATTACTGTATTTTATTTTTAATATTTAATACTAGCAATTTCGCAACATCACATAAATGATAGGATCAAATTTTATCAAAAAATCTACCCATACGCATATACGAAGTTCATAATGCCGGATGGAATTAAGTAGGAATTATAGAAGACGAAAAATTCAGAAAAGAAAATGAATAAACATAAAAGACGAGCAATGTCAGGTCATTATTTTCTGATTGAAAAATTTTAATAGAATTTACTATATAATACTTTTTTTCAACTCCTCCTTTTGAAAAAGAATGCAAACCACCGAATTAAATTGGTCTAGCTAAAATATATGAATTTTAGCATTATTGATTATAGTCATCTGTTTTTTATTGAATAGATGTTTTTTATTTTTTAGCCCTTGAAACTCTCGAACTCTCGAATTTACTGTATATAGTTATTAAAAACTTTAATTTATTCTTAAGCTATCAGCTATTTAACTTATTATTTATTTCATACGTATAAAGCATATCTATATTGATTTTCTACATTAGTTTCCTAATTCGTGACTACCATGCGAATTTATTATATATTAGTAACAGTAATTGTGAATGGTAAAAAAACGGTTAAAATATCGTTAACTGAACTTAAAATTGTCGCATAATTTCAGCTATATTTAATAATGTGAGGCGATTAACGAAACCCTTAACGAAATTAATTTGTCCAATAAAATAGAAAATACTGCTGTCTTTTTTTCATCGAGGTTCGTTATAATGGCCTCTGGATATTTTGAATTTTAAATTGTTTCGAATTACTGTATTTCACCATAAAGTTTCATCGGTACAAATCTTTTAATAGACAACGAACTTTTTTTCTCTAAATCGACAATTCGTTATAAAAAACGTTAACTCCATCAAAATTAACAAGCTCGCACAAAAATTAATTTTTAGCGTTGAATTTGAAGTCGATAATTTTTATTCTCGATAGTTTTCTTTGTTGACACATCCGGGAATACAGTGCAAAAAAAATTGAGGGACTAATACGAAAGGATCGAATAATAGTTTTGTACTTCAATCATTTTGAGTTTCGCTATCCATTATAGTTTTTTCATCAGTTCGTTGTTCAAAAATAATTCATATTGTTCTTTGCATTGCTGACACATGCCACTGCATTACTTGCATCTAATTCCCGATTTTAATCAGTTTCCTTTGGTGTAATTCGTATTGTCCGTTTTCATTCTGTGGTCCATGGTGGCTGCCTATTTTGTCGATCACGTGATCTGAATCGCCCGATAAATAATTGATATTTTTTTAAAAAATTGCATTTTAAAACATTTGCCATCCCTAACGATAATGCGGAAACTTTTTACACCACCATTGAGTCCCACAAGTAATGTCGACCGAAATTTTATGACGTAATCGAGTTATTCGTTTTAAAATTCGAGTTAAAAATTCGAGTTAAAATTCGATTTTAATAAAATTTAACTTATCGGAAGTCGATTCTTCGCATTATTTGCCATAATGTATTTTTTTTTAATCTATCGTTTCGTTTCATCATTAGATTTTTGCCAAAATTGCAAACGATAATAAAAGTAAAAAAAGCGGACATCGATAGCTTCTCACGATAATAAAGATTAAAACTTTATGAAACCTAATATAATATAATAATTGTGGACCTGAAGAAGGACTCTCAGCAGTTATGTGTATACCTCACAGTACACCCTTCATGACATTGATGACCAGCAGTATTTTCATACGGGCATGGCAATGAAGAATAAGAGGTGAGAATATCTAATACAGCGGATAATTGCTCCTTCCCATACAATTTGGTAACGAGCATTATTTCCTCTTGAGATAGACCACGGTCATCTTGATGGTGTTTAGATGTATGGGTATTTTCATTATCTGGAGATTGATTCTTAGGTTTTGGACCACGTCTTTTTGATAGAGCATCATAAGTGCAATTGACGTTACGCCTTATGCATTCACTACACTTAACAGATCGATCGAGGTGTGCTTCCTTTATGCATCGGGTTTTTAGGCGTTGACAAGAATCACACGCTTTAGTTGTGTTAATTCGATACGTTAAGGGTGCCATTAAGAGGTTTTAGTTTTAATGATCTGTATGTAATTCGTACATATAATAATTGTTGAAAAGAAGAGTTATTTATATCAGTTAGAAAATAAATTTGGAGAACCGGAAAACTTGAAGTTTCTTCTGATAATAGTATTATCAATAGATCTTTGTGTAAGTTGAACAATTCAAAGAGTCTTTTATTTAGGCAAATTAACTAATGCTTTATTGTTTGGCCTTATCGGTTTGTTTATACCGTAGTTAAAGTTAAAATAATTATGCTATTGTGAATTTTTTAGACCTCCAAATATGATATAGATATCGGTTGAAGAAATCAAATATCATCTAACAATAGGGCAATTTCCTTTTTTTCATGATCTACAAATTTTCCAGCCGCAATAAAAAAATTTTTATCAGGAAATTAAAAAATACGCATTATGCTTATTCTTTGATTATAGTTCTTTTTAGGAAGTTTTTATGACACTAGTCTACGGAAATTCATAATACTAATACTAAAAATTGTTCTTTTTTAAGAAATTTTTATGACAATAATTTACAGAAATTCTTCATGTTAAGGTTAAAAATTTTATTCGTTAATTTATAATATAAAGTTTTATTTCCGCAATCAAATAATTTTCCGAAATTTTTGTAACAGTTTTATTAAATCACACCACAGTTGATGTATTACAAATCTATCTAACTAATGTCCGACGTACTTAATAAAAATGTTCAGCTCCCCAAAAATCTCATTCTAACTAAAATTTAGACTTATTACTTTATCTTAATTTTTATATATAAAATGAATTAATTGATTTATAAACTTTAATTTCGCTAAATACGTATTATAAGCATTAATCACGATATAAATTTCTATTTTTTTTTAACGTATAAAACCAAATTAGATACCTTGTGAGTCAAAATGGGCTAAACATTTTTTTAGTTTCAGAGATAGAAATTACCATAAGCAGTTAATCTATAAAAAACCAGGTATAAAATTTTGATATTATGACGAGATATAAATTACTTTTTTCTATATCTTCCGTTAGAATTATCCGAATTTCAGTAGATTAAGAAGCAAATTATATAGTTTCTCGATAATTTTATGAAGAAAAAAAGAAGTATTCAAGAATCGTGTTGATTGGTGCTGATCATTTCTATAATTACTAAAATGGTTAGCGGGGAATTAAATAACGCAAAATTTTAAAGATTCTTAATGTTGATGCAGGGATAAAATACATATGTATCGCCGAGGTAAATCACAATTCCAAAATCTTCGGATAGTGTAAATTATAAACCCAAAATTCCGGGTAATTCCTTTGATAGCACCCATATGGAGAATGGACTAAGAAAACTAGCGTTTGACACTTATTTTCGAATAGCGGCACCGAAAAATTAATTGTAGTTAAATTTTATTATATGTATAAACAATTACAAATCAATTAAACTTATGATAAAAAATAATTGTTTTCATTTAAATATACAATATTGTTTAATAACGGTAATTTGGCAAACCGGATAAATGAACACTGCTACGCGGCATTTGTTACCAATCATTTGCCAGCTGAGCCAAGTTACAGTCAGCCCATATAATCACACATTTTGTTATAGAATTTTACAAAAATGTGCTTATAAAGAGGTTTTATTTATCATAGAGGTAGTTTTTTATATGTTTACAGAATGTGATAACGATATGATGTGATTATAGAGGGGTGATTGTAGAGGGGGTGACTGTATTCGAAGACGGCTGAGTTCTAATTTGAACAAACATTATTACATCGTAACATATGAAAAAATAACAAGACAAAGTAATTTGTGATCATGAATTTTCTGGATAATTGCAATTAATTTCCCTCACGATCAATTATTCGGTAGGCCTGCATTAAAATGATGTTTCCTAGTCTATCCTTGTAGACTGCCTTCAATAAAAATCAATTTATCTAACAATCTGCTATATAACACAATGAATCAATAAAAACGTTGCAAAAATACAGATTATATATGTTCTCGATAATTGCCCAAGATAACCTTAAAGTGCTTCAACAATTCTCAACACCTTAATGATATTAACAATTTATATAAACTTATAACTAACCCTAATCCCAACGTGATAACTTGAAGTATAGTCCTAACCTACCATAACTATTTGCAGATAGCATAGCCTACTGATGTATTATTATACATATATATATGTAATATATTTGTCGTTGTTTAAATTCTACATAATCTTTTTTGTATTCCGACTATGCTACTCTATGCAACACTGATTTCGGCCGATTTTGCCCCACCCAAAATTTAAGATTTAATTTTTGGATACATACTCATTATCGGTATATCTATACATAGTATAACTATGTAGTAACTATATAGGTACTATTAAATTTAATAGTAGCAATATATTCACAATGCAGTTACTGTGCATTAATATATCCAAGTTTCCGTAAAATCGGAGTATTATAAAAGCATTGATGACTAAATTTCGAATCAGCTGTAATGTATAGCGTGTATCGATCCAAAAATAGTCAATAAGTACAGTTATAATATTGAGAAATTCTATTTTCACCCGGTTAAAATCACCCGAACAACTATGATATCATTTATGTAACTAAAATTATTAGTATTAGTAATATTTCGGGTGACTTTAACCCGGGTGAAAACAGAACTTTTTTATAATATTTTGCAAAAAATTAAAAATAATCTTTTTTCGTCGGAATTTGTATCACGGCTATGTAGTACATGGAAACTACGACGTTTTGTGGGCTGGAGTTCTAATTATTAGGTTTTATACTTTATAATTAAATAGTATTTAGATTTTATAAATTGCTATTACTTACTAGTAATAAAACGGCGGCGTTTCATAGGGCTGGAGCCTTGCTTATGACGCGCCTAACCTGAAAATAAAATTATATAAAACTAACATATATTATCTGTATAGTAAAATGTTAATACGTAATAGTTATGGACAGTTAATTATAAGCGAAAAATTTACCGTATAACTACTGTATCTGCCACTTACGCTGCCGACACATCAGTTATACTACCAATAAATTTTCGCTTGTAGGTATCCAACTACACAGGATTTAATTAGTTTATTGTTAATTGTAAGTAATTAATATGCACGCGAACAATATATGTTTCAATTTTTAATAATTAAACAGTAAACATAGGAAACATTTATGCAATAGTCATTTCTTTAACTTGATTGAGTTAAGGAAGTTCATCAATAATTTTATTTTTTAACATATCGGGAATCATTCTCAACTGGAAACCTTTTCGGTATAAATTTTTCTTTATCATATCTATTACATAATCTCATCTTATATACTAATACAATAGTGAAACCTTTCTTTACAAAGATGACAAAATTTGCAGAAACTGCATTATGAAATTTCTTTAAAAGATTACAACTGTCATCAAAAAGCTGGCATGCAAATAGTAGTGGCAAATTATTTTAGATCTAAAATTTTTAGTTAAAAACTAGGGTTTGAGTTGCTTAAAGGGAGTTAGAGATGAGTGTACTATATTGTATTATACCAATGCAAGGACCTCATGTTGTGATTAAGCTTCAGGGCTGCGATAGCGATGCAAAGACCTTATGTTATGATTAGGCTCTATGGTTGTCGCAGGCAGTGCAAGAATCACATTTTGGGGATTAAGCTCCGCAACTACGATAACAGTGCAAGGACCTCACGTTATGATTAGGTTCCGTGGCTGCGATAGCATTTCAAGGACTTTATGTTATGTTTAGGCTCTATGGCTGCTGTAGGCAGTACAAGAACCTCATGTTTGGTGATTAAGCTCCGCAACTATAGGTGCAAGGATCTCACGTTGTGATTAGGCTCTGTGGATGCGATAGCAATGCAAGGACCTCGTGTAGTGATCAGGCTCAATGGCTGCTATAGCAATGCGAGGACCTCACGTTGTGATTAGTCTCTATGACTGTCGCAGGCTGTGATTAAGCTCCGCAACTACGATAGCAGTGCAAGAACCTTACGGTATGGTTAGGCCCTGTGGCTGCGATAGCAATGCAAGGGTCTCATGATGTGTTTAGGCTCTATGGCTACCGCAGACAATGCAAGACCTCATTTTTGGTGATTTAGCAACACAACTACGTTTGCGGTGCAAGGATCTCACATTTTGATTAGACTCCGTGGCTGCGATAGCATAAATTAAAAAAAAATTCAACTAAATCAAACCAACGTTACTGAATATGGTTAAATCTATTGCTTAATTTTTAAAAAATTCTTTAAACAAAAGAAGCTTTATATAATCTACCCAAAGCCATACCCGGATAAGGTTTACTATTATGAACTTTTAATACTTTCTAAAGACGCTTTTACAGTACATTAATTTAGTT